CAATATAGTCCAAAACCAGCTCAATATTAAAACACAACCATGCAAGATAAGAAAGAATCAAGAGGATTACAACGGGACATATATTTAACTACATATATTGAAGCACAGAGTTCTATATTAACCAATCCAAAGTACACAAAATGGATATCCAAAATTGATTACAACCATAATCAAATAGCTTAGCTACAATTTACAAACCCTAAACTTAGGAATTCATAAATACATAACTAAATCATTGATTAAGCTACTCCCCTTTTAAACTCCTTGAACTCAAGCCATTAATCCACCTTCAAGAGGAAAAGAAATGTCTAGCCACATATTAAGCTCTGAAGCATCACAATTGGGAATGAATTTGAACTATCTATGATGGAGGTTTGACAGTAGAAATAGAGGAGATTGGGGTTAGATGAGAGAGAGTGAGAGAGGATGAGACATAGAGGCTATCTGAACAGAATGATGTGTATGCATGAAAATAGGGTTTCTAATTTTGTGAAGGGATGGTAAGGGATGGTCTGGGTTAGTTTCCACGAGTGGGTAGGTTAATTTTTGGAAAAGGGTTCGAATCTGGGTTACATATTCAAAGGTTTTGCTGTAGTGAAGGAATGACTTTGCTGCGGTGAAACATTCTTGAGAGGTGCTTCGATTAATCTTGTGATTTCGCCACGGCAAACTTTGCCCGAGAGGTCTCTGGTGAAATTACAGTGTTACACTGTCATATCCCAAATTTTAGGCCCAAAAGCTTAAGAGCCTAAAGAAGATAGGTTACCAAGCCCTTTTAAGCAAAAGTCTTAAAGATGAGAAAGAAAGTCAAAGCAGTTTTAAAGACTAAACTACAAAATAAGAAAGTTGTTAAGAGGTAAATGGTTAAGTTGAGGCTCCAATAGAGGCTCAAAGTGCCTAGAAAGAGAAAAGAGGCTAAATATAGGCCAAAAGTTAAGTTAAAAGCATCAAACAGATGGTTTATGAGGTTGAATCCAAGTAGGTATAAAATCATAAATTCAGGGAGATATAGACTAATAGGGGTATAAATGAAAAGTGTACAAAAAATTTCATAAAAATCCCAAAAAATGGGAAATAATATCCTAAGACTCTTTGGCGAAGAGAAATGACAAAAATATCCTTGAGGTAATTTAGATGGAATTTATAAAATTATAGTCGGTAAAAAGTACACTGTTTGAGGAGGTAATTATTTAAAATAGCAATAAACCCTAAAAATATAAAAAAATGAGATTAAATAGTTAAAAATTTGTACTAATTTATAAAATTAGTTTTACAACCGGAAGGCCAGTGAAATGGCTTTAATAAAATATAAAGTCAATTATGTTGATAAAAAGGTATTTCAGTAAATGATTTTTATGCAAGGCTTAAGGGAAGTGTTATGGTTTAAGAAAATTCATAGATATTCTCTAAAAATAAACGGAATTTATAGAATAGACAAAAGCATTTTTGAGCTCCAGAAGGCCATTAAGAAAGCTGGATAAATGTGAGCTAAATAAATTGGAAGGAAACTTGGAGATTAAGTTTAATCCAATGGCTAAGATTCATTCTCCCTTCCTCTCCACTAGATTTTTGACACCTAGCACTTCTAGAAGAATGATATAAGGGATGATGCAATGATGATATAAAAGTCCACTTGAACTTCCAAGCTGGCCCTCGCACTTTCTATTAGCTCCCAAGGGCATTTTGGTCCATTTAAGGCCAAATTTTGGCTACAAATAGAACCCCTCCCCCTCTCATTTTCAGCCAAGGAGAGAAACTTAGGGTTATACTCTTGCCATTTTGATTCTTAAAGTATAATTAAGAGGAAGACACCACCTTTGATCATCGAAGCTTAGATCCAATGTTAGTAGGTTGTTCTACTTTGTATTATGCTTTTTTTTTTTGGTTTTATGGTTGAAAAAACTAGTTACCCTTATGGTATGATGTTGGCCAAAATATGTTAGGGATAGGGGAGGATGATTTTGATGTTATATCTAGTTAAAACACATTGGTTCAAAGTTGTTTCAAATAACTTAATATCATAGGATATTATCACGATCTAAAGATTGGCGGGACTTTGATGCTAATGTTGGAAATATTAAATATAAAACAAAGTGCATACAGGGTTAGATTCATGTTCAAATCCGGCTTATTCCTCCGAAACTTCATGACTTGATCGACCGATGCTTACGCAAAGTTTAGACTATTAAAGCCTAAACCTAAGTGGCATAGTAGAGCACCACACAAGAGAAAATATTAGAGAGAGAGAGAGAAAGAGAAGAGAGTAGGAAAACTTAACTATTACGTTGAGCTGAACTGATAGATGGAGGCATCTATTTATAGCTAGAGCCGTCAAAACGGGTTGAGTCCATCGGGCCAACCCTTTTAACCCTTTTAAGTAGAGGGCCGGGCTTGTATTTTAGGTGATTTTGATTTAAAGGAAACTGGACTTAAAAAGGCTAGCCCTATAGGCTCAAAAATAAAAGGGCCAACCCTTTAGGGCCAAGGGCTAGCCCTTTTAAGCCCGCCTATTTTTTTTTTATTATCAAATATTTATAAAGTTATATATTAGTCTTTTATGAATAAGTTTAAATTAGAAAAATACTTAGAAGAATTAATACTCAAGTTAGATAATTGAAAAGAATTAGATGTGTCTTCGATTTGTGGAAGAATAATTAAAATCAATTTTCAATTCTTTCAAGAATGGTAGCTGATATTCTTAACATTTTAATCACTATAATAGCTAGTAGATCTTCTTTTACCATCAGTTTATATATCTTAACAAAGTGTAAAACTTTCTTATTCGAAGAAATGTTCAGGCTCTTATTTGTACTTATAATTACTGCATAGTTTTATTTTAGATAAGGTAAATGAAGACAAAAACCTTAATATTTTTATCACTAAAGAAGAACTCACTTGTAGTAAAGAACAATCAAATAGCTGATCTTGATGATACTGATGAAGATGATGATAAAGATAATAATTATGTTGATATTGTTAATCTTTAACTGCTAGATTTTATCTTTTGTTTTTCGTGTTTTGTTAGATTTTGATTTTTTTAAATTTTGGATAATAGTTTATTGACATTTATTTTTTTTTTCTATACACCACTAATTTATTTTATATTTATAATTAATAAAAATCTTGAATAAAATTCTTAGAAGTTTTGTTTTATTTTTTTTTTATTTTAAAATAATTAAAAAGAATTTAAATTTTAAAAAAGAACATAAAAGGGCCAGCCCTTTTAAGCCCTGAGCCCGCATGTCCAAGGGCTGGGCTTAATAATTAAATAAATTTTAAAGTATGTGGGCTTTAAAGACCCTTTTGGCCGCTTCAACTAGCCTTTTAGGGCGACCCTGGCAGCCTTATTTAGGCTTTAGGGCCTTTGGCTTTTTGGGCTGCTTATTCTATTATAGCTTTGGCTAGGGGTATTTTGAGAAGGCAAAAAATCCACTGAATCATCTATTTGAATTTGAATTCAAATTAAAATATCTCTTAATTGATAAGATTATGAATTTGAATTTAAATTTGGAATTAATATCAATTAATTCTAAATATATATGTTTAATATATATTTAGTCTGGAATATAAATTAATTTGATTTATATCTTAATTAATTTAATTTATACCATAACCAATTAGATTTAATTCATATTGTTTGACCAAGTCAAACATATCGCAGTTTTGTTTGGATATTTGATTAGAATATTCTTTTAATATCTAATTAAATAATCTAGCCCATCAAAGACGGATTCAAGCTCAGAAATCCAACATCATTCATCTGGATTCAAATTCAATGATAATGTTTAAGAAGGAAATAAAAAATAGAAGAAATAACTTTATTAGCATAATGAACACTATTATTATGCCAATGGAATGCCATTTAACTCTCTCTGAATAAATAGAACCCGCCCCACACTCATAAAGGAGGAGTTTAGATTAAAAATCTTATTCAAGTGCTTCATGCTATCCACCATAACAAGAAGACTAGTAATTGTGAAAGGTATATCATCTTGCTGCAGTACATGGATCACAATAATCTGAAACTTACTCGTCGAACACTCACAGAAGATGTATGGTTGAAGTCTCATTTATCTTCAAGAGGCCATGATTTCCCGGAAGCCCTGCTTGCCCGAAGTAGCCACTTAGGTCATTGGTATTTGATTGCCTCTAATTCTCCCAGTTCAATCAAATTTGATTCACTCATCCACTAAGAGGTCTCATAGGCAGCGAAAGAGAATACGGTCCTTGAAATTGTGACTTTGTCTTTGATTTCGTCGCGCATATCTTTTAGAATGCGGCCGCCAAGGCGCATGTGTTCCGCGGTGGTGGAAGAAGATCGGTTGCCACGTTTGATCCCTTGTTCACCACATTAGACTCTTCAACGACGTTTAGCCTGTCTAACGTTTCTTAAACAAAAAGATTGCCAAATTAGACGACTGAACTAATTAGGGGCTAATAAAAAGGAAAATAACTTGGAGGACTCCGTTAAAAATGGGATAGAAGAATAAGGACTCGCATTTTGGTTTTTCCTTTATACTGCCATTACCATTAAGCTTTTATTGTGTTTAAATGATTTTGATTTTTTTTAAACAATAATAATAAAAATTTTAAAAATTACTAAATCTCAAATTAATATTTATTATTATCTTAGATCCTAATTATAAAGTCTTGTCTATAATCTACAAACAAAATTTTATAATTACGGTTAAAGTTTTGATAATTGACTTATAAATATAAATATCATAATATTTTTGTAAGTATATCTTATTTGCAATTTTGTAATTTCCAATGGTCTTTTTGGTCATTGGAAAAAAAAACTCCGGAAGTAGAAGAGCGTAGAAGGCAGTTGTGGGAGGAAAGCGATCGAGAGAAAGACGTGAAGGCGGATGAAACTTGGGGCTTGATTTCCATTGTTGAAGTTAAGAAATGCAAGTCATATGAGATCTATCGGAGTCATGAAGAAGTGCTTCAAGCACATCGTGCGGAAAGATCCCAGATTTTGATTTTATTTACAATAAAATCTGTTTGGGGATTCAACGATCTCCAATGTTGGGAGGAGAGAGGACGATGATCAGAGTCGGCTGTTGGGGGAATCGGCATTCAACGGTAAAACTGCAGAAGAGAGAAAAGGCGACGTTGAAGTTCAAGATCGAGGAGGAGGGGGTTCGCCATTGAAGGGTTTTCTGAAGAAATTGGATAGGGAGTTCTCTGGTCGCAGGCACAGCGTCAAGCGAGATCAAAGGGAAAATAGAGAAAGAAGAGATGATTCTCACCCCCACTCACATCATCATCATGTGTTGGATCTTCATGTCGATTCTGACGATGCTCTAGGCGACAGTGCTCCTCCCGAATGGGCATTACTTCTCATTGGCTGTCTTCTTGGTCTCGCCACAGGTCTCTGCGTCGCCGCTTTTAACAAAGGAGTGCATCTCATTCATGAATGGGCCTGGGCTGGTACTCCAACTGAGGGCGCTGCTTGGCTTCGATTGCAGAGATTGTCTGATACGTGGCATCGAATTCTTTTGATTCCTGTGACTGGTGGAGTCATTGTTGGCTTGATGCACGGTTTACTCGAAATTATGGATCAAATCAAGCAGTCCAGTTCTTCTCAAACACAGGGTTTTGATTTGCTTGCTGGTTTTTCCCCTACAATAAAGGCCATTCAGCTGCTGCAGTTACTTTGGGTACTGGTGGTTCTTTGGGTCCTGAAGGCCCCAGCGTAGACATCGGAAAGTCTTGTGCCAATGGATTCTCCTTAATGATGGAAAATAACAGAGAAAAGAATGATAGCCCTCGTTTGCAGCAGGAGCAGCAGCTGGGATTTCTTCAGGTAACCAGGTTTTCTTGTCCCACTAATTTTGCGATACACGGTGTTATTATTGTCCATTTCATTCACTGGTCCTTTAATCCTCATTCAAACTATTCATAGGTGATTCCACAAGTATGCATTTATATATTTTGTGCCCAAGTCACTGTTGGTTGGAATGATAATACCATGGGTGAAAACTTATTGTTTCAACTCGAGTTGTTATATGATTTTGTGAAATGAGCTGTCTAACTTTGGGGGGGGGGGGGAGAAAAAGAAAAAAAATCCTCTTCTCTTCTTTATTCTATGGTTATTTTTCTATGAACTGGAAGTTTATGCTACATCTAGCTTGTTTCGTGATAAGGAATTGCAGAAAAGAAAGGTGAGGAGAATATTTTAGAGAAGAAAGATAAAGAGAGAAGAATAGAAAAGAAAAACTTGAATTATTGAATAATTTGATACTTTTGAAACATAATAGAAAAGATTGATCACTAGTATTTATAAGAAGTCAACCACGAGACCAGCACAGCTGAGTTTTTAAGGGGGAAATTGCAAATAAAGACCCTCCAATATATAAAATAGCTATCAGGGACCCTGAATTTGGAAAATAGCTTCAAAGGACCCGGTCCCAAATTGCAAATATGAAATGATGGTAGAATGTCCAAAATACCCTTTGTTTTTCTCTCTTTCTTCCTCTCCAGATCATCTTCTTCCTGACCTTGCCTCCTCATTTTCCTCTTTCTCTTCGTTCTCTCTTTCCTCTCCAAGTTTCCTTCCCTCTCCTCACTCTTTTCCCCAAGTATATGGAACTCACAATGTCTTTCGGTGGTCCTCTCTTCATTGTCATCCCCGTCACTTTCTTTATCTTGCTTACCTGCTCTTTCGTCAACAATGAAGCCTCTTCCTCATTCTCTCTGTTGCTGTGGAAGGAGAGGAGAGTCGGGACGGGAGTTTGAGGGAGAGTGACAGTCATTTGCAATGCTTGTAATGTTTGCTTGCAATGTGTGTGGTGATTGCTTGGTGCTGAGACAACGCTCAATAAATCTGGATTTTATTCTTCATTTCTATTTTGATTTTAGCTTGTGTTCGTAATTGAAAATAACGAGTTTGATAAGTTGTTGAAAATAACAAGTTGACAAGTTCTGATACCCAGTTCACGACAAGTTCAGTAATGCGAATAACAAGTTTAGCAAGGCGAATAACAACTTCTGATAAGCAATTCATAGAATTCGAGTTTCTCTGTTAAAATGACAGCATTTTCAGATTTCTTTAGCAGATGACAAGTTCTGATACACAATTCATGACAAGTTCAGTAAGGCGAATGACAAGTTTAGTAAGGCGAATGACAACTTTTGATAAGCAATTCATAGAAATTTGAGTTTCTATGTTAAAATGATAGGTTCCCAGTAGGTTTTCATACTTTTTCCTGTTAAAATGACTGGATTTCCACATTGATTTATCAAATGATAGGTTTACAATAGAAAATGACAAGTTTTCATAAGATTTTTATGCTTTTTTTTGCTGGAATTACAATTTGCACATTTCTGACAGCAATAACTTCTGATAAATACGAAATGACAAGTTCAGAATGAAAAATGACAAGTTAAGTATAGCAAATGACAACTTCCCACAATATTTTCATACATTTTCATACTTTTTCTGCTAGAATTACAATTTGCACATGTCTGACAGCACCCACTTCTGATAAACACGAAATGACAAGTTCATAATGGAAAATGACAAGTTAAGTATGGCAAGTGACAAATTCTAGTTTTCATAATGTTTTCATTTTCATATTTTTCTGGTGGGATTACAATTTGCACACACTGCTGATAGCAATCACTTTTGATAAACAATAAATGACAAGTCCACAATAGCGAATGACAAATTAAGTATGTAAAATGACAAGTTCCCATCACGTTTTCATACAAATGTAAATTTCTCTACTGAAATAACAATGTTCAGATTTCTGACAGCAACCACTTCTGATTAACATCTTTCATCATCAACTTCACCTCTCATTTCCTCCTAATGTATAAAACTATAGCACCAGAACTCTCATAAGCCCCTCAAGAAGCATGCTCATATCAACACCAGTGGCAAATGCACTACGATGATCATATCCACTCACAAGTGCATCCTCAACCATGAAATCCCAAATATAAATTGTCATATCATATGAACAATAAACCATCAAATTCTACATATAAAGCGAGAACTTTATTCGTTTAGCACTGTGTATTTAGGGCTCGTTTGTTCCTCACATACCACACTTGATCGATTTTTCCACCGAAATACATCATCATACTTGATTTCCACAATTTAGAGCTTGTTTGCAATTATCAGAAGTGGGTGCTGTCAGAAATGTGCAAATTGTAATTCTAGCAGAAAAAGTATGAAAATGTATGAAAACACTGTGGGAACTTGTCATTTGCTATACTTAACTTGTCATTTTTCATTTTGAACTTGTCATTTCGTATTTATTAGAAGTTGTTGCTGTCAGAAATGTGCAAATTTAATTCCAGCAAAAAAAAGCATAAAAATCTTATGAAAACTTGTCATTTTCTATTGTAAACCTATCATTTGATAAATCAATGTGGAAATCCAGTCATTTTAACAGGAAAAAGTATGAAAACCTACTGGGAACCTGTCATTTTAACACAGAAACTCAAATTTCTATGAATTGCTTATCAGAAGTTGTCATTCGCCTTACTAAACTTGTCATTCGCCTTACTGAACTTGTCATGAATTGTGTATCAGAACTTGTCATCTGCTAAAGAAATTTGAAAATGCTGTCATTTTAACAGAGAAACTCGAATTTCTATGAATTGCTTATCAGAAGTTGTTATTCGCCTTACTAAACTTGTTATTCGCATTACTGAACTTGTCGTGAACTGGGTATCAGAACTTGTCAACTTGTCACTTCCTCAAACTCCCGACTCTCCCGACTCTCCTCTCCTTCCACAGCAACAGAGAGAATGATGGAAGATGCTTCGTTGTTAATGAAAGAGCAGGTAAGCAAGATAAGAAGAAAGTGACAGGGATGACAATGAGGAGAGGACCACCGAAAGACATTGTGAGTTCCATATACTTGGGGAAAAGAGTGAGGAGAGGGAAGGAAACTTGGAGAGGAAAGAGAGAACGAAGAGAGAGAGGAAAATGAGGAGGCAAGGTCGGGAAGAAGATGATCTGGAGAGGAAGAAAGAGAGAAAAGCAGAGGGCATTTTAGACATTCTACCATCATTTCATATTTGCAATTTGGGACCGGGTCCTTTGAAGCTATTTTCCAAATTCAGGGTCCCTGATAGCTATTTTATATATTGGAGGGTCTTTATTTGCAATTTTCCCTTTTTTAAGTATCTAGTTTAGGGTTTGAACCCTGGCAATGCGTATAGAGGGGGTTTTGTGGCCAGCACTAAAGCCCTTTTGGGAAGTTTACAGTGCGGAGGGATTAGTCATTGCTATCAATAGTGGATATCCTAAGCTCAATAAAAAAAAAAAAAATTTATAAGTCATGGGAAATCTTAATAATACATAATATCTAACTCAAATCTTCATATATCTAATTCAAATATTAATAAAACGTTCCATCTAAATCCTCCTAATAATATAATAATATCCAAATCTTAAATCAATTTAAAATCCAAATAAATGCTAATAAAATCGTGATAATTAAATTTGAATCAAATCTTGTTGGCCCGTGATAATTCGTTTATGCTTTTTATGTTTAAATTTTTATGCCCATTTGGAACTCATTTTAACAATGCAAAACTAGATAGTGACCTGTTTGATGTGCATTTATATATGTTTTTGTTAAAGATGAAATAAAATAGAAAGTCAGTTTATCATAATCTGCAAAAATAAATATAACCATGTATTTATATGATGCTAAACTATAACTTCCAGATGAAAGGAAAGCCCATTCTGAATAAATATGGGCTTTCTACGAAAAGGCACAGTGAATAAGATGTCACGAGTACCCAAAGACTCAGCCATCCAAAATCAAGCTTCTGTGAGCTCTTTTTTTGTTCAAAAGCTTACGTAAGTTCTTATCGCAGATGATTTTGCAAACTCATTTCACATATTTCTGATTTAGGAGAAGACCAATCCATCCAGTAGCATTTCAAGAGTTAGCAGCACGCACCAAATAAGACAAAGTAAAAGATTGTAATTATGTGATTATAATTTAGATCCGTCCACAAAATTTATTTACCTGATAAGCCCTTAGTGAATCCTTAGCATAACCTTAATAAGCCTGTGAGTGAAAATATTGTCTTTAGGCCTCCTAACCAAAATATTTAATGTAGAACCATTTACCTTTTTTCTTTCCAATCTTCCAGTCGACATGCTTTTATAAATTTTGTTGAGATCCCTCTGGGTCCCCCCTCCCAACCCCGGCCTTTCTTTTCTTTTTTGAGAGGAGAGGGGCTTGCCCACATGTTTATGATGAATAGGAAAGGGATGCACAAATATGGAGAAACGTATACATATTGTAGCCAATTGTGGTTTTACCTAACAAGGACTTTGTTTAGCACGGGCCCAACTTGAGATATGTTAGGCAGAGGAAGAAGCCCAATTCTGATGCGTAGTGTTTTTTATGTGACAAGGGTTAGTTTGGGTATTTCTAAGAGTTAGTTATGGAAAGGGGTGAGTATATTTGCTGGGTGGGTTACGGGGGTAGGCATGGAAAAGCTGAGCGTTGTGTAGGAGAGTTCTGTGCCTCTCAAATGTGCAGAATGGAATCGTTTTGCTAGTTATTTCTGTAATCCTCCATTGCGGTGGAGCTGTTCTGGTGATTGAATAATCCTTCCATAGCCTGTGGCTTTGTTAGACTTCTATTCTCATCATATTTGAGAAAGACAAATTCGAGGATGTTTATAAGGAATACACTGCAAATTTTGGAAGAAATTACTGTAGAGAAACATTACTGCAAAGTAAGAAAAAGAAAGAAGGAAGAATTTGATATATAACTGCAAAAAAGTTACATGGCCTCTGAATGTGGCAGTAAAGAAAAGAGCCCAAGACCATTGCAATTGGATTTTACAATGCCTATGGGTATCCTTGATGATGGGCTGTTGCAACGGTGGGCCTTATTCCTTCATGTTATCCTACAAGAATTTTGGTTCAGAATTGGTTTAAGGGAGAATTAATCACGATGCTCTTTGGTTCTGGTTTGTAACATTTCTTTGTGTTACTTGACTCTTGAGAGCAAGGGTCTTTTTGGAGAGGGGTATTGATATATAACTGTAATTCAGAAGAGAAGTTAGTTGTGGGTTAGCTAGAGGGGGCTAGGAGTGATGTGGATTAATGGCCTATAAATAGAGGGCTAAGGGACCTATTTTATAATTTTTTTGGATAATACAAGTTGAGATGAGAAAATTAGAGTGAAACGAGTAGTGGAAATTAGTATAATTAAGGGAAATTTGGTTAAAGGTACGTGTTTGAAAATTTTATTGGCCAAAGTGAGTTGGCGAACTCATCTTCAGCAAGTGCATTTTTTTTTTTTTTTTAGTAAGTTGCATGCAACCTATCTTCAACTATGAACACAGGACTTCAAAATAGAAGTCATTTGCACATAGCTAAAGATATGTTGTGTACAGTTGAAAAAGAGTTGCACTTACTCAAATTCAGATATCTTTTAGCTAATAAAATTTGAAAAAAGGTATTCTTAACCAGTTGTCTGATAATTAATGTTAGAGATAATGAAGAAAGAGAGGTCAATCATAAATCAATTTAGAGAAACAATACTGCTAAGTAAGAAAAAGAGAAAGAAGAAAGAATTAGATGGGGAGTAAGAAGCAAATGAGTACGAGTCAAGTTGAGAAATTTAGATTAAATTAATGATATAATTAATGTTCGAGATAGTGAAGAAAAGAAGGTGAACCATATAAAATCTAAAATTTTCAAATTTGAAGATAGGTAGTTTTGGGTTGGGAGGTTAAATAAAGTTTAGACTGGGAAACCGTTAAACCCTTTTTTTCCTCATCATTGTTTGTGGATAAATTCATTGAATCGTGTCCAAATTTTCTTTCTTTTGCAAATGTTGGATAAGTTAGCTCTTATTTATTCAATTTTTTCCGTGTGTCCAGGCTTCAATGCAGCAGTTGCTGGTTGTTTCTTTGCTATTGAAACGGTGTTAAGGCCTCTCCGTGCAGAGAATTCTCCCCCGTTTACAACTGCCATGATTATATTGGCTTCTGTCATCTCATCGACTGTATCAAATGTTTTACTTGGAACCCATTCAGCTTTTACAGTGCCTGCTTATGATTTGAAATCTGCTGCAGGTGTTTTCATTTACCTTTGCTGTATGCCATGAATTTTTATTATTTATTATTAGTATGAAAACGGAACTCAAACATATAAGGAAAAATACCATTTTAATCAGTTTCCTCTTCCTTAAACTGATTTGGTATTAATATTGTTGAAATTAAGATGTGGCCAGATTACTGAAATTTTAATATTGTCAAACCTGGCATGATAGTATTTGACACCTTTGTAAAAAGGAATTATTATGAGATATTCAACTTCTAAGGAATTTTACATTTCTTAGTGAACCTTAAATTTACTTTTCCTAGAATGTAATTTCATAGTCTGGTCACTCAATAACTTCAATTAAAGATATTAAAATTAGAAGAAATATGGTAATTCTTGACCTTTCTGAACAGCTTCTCTCTTGAATGTGTCCTTAGATTGTTGGGGTTGTTTTATAGTTTATAAAAAAAGGGAGACCCAATGAACAATGCTCCTGGGGGGAGGGATAGATGCATGCAGCCCTTTGCCTTGTAAGCAAAGAGGCTGTTTTCTGGATTTTAACCTACGACCTCCATGACATTTGAGTGCCTTGTAGTTGGTTTTTTGTGCTTTCCACCAAAAGTTTCTTGAGGTCAAGCAGTAATTATCACTAGACAATATTTAAGTGTTGATACTGCATAGAAATATTATTTCTTTCGTGAGATACAAGATTACTAAATGATGAATGGATTTCTTTGCCTTACCAAATTATACAATCAGAGTCTAATTCACCAGTCCCATTTGTTGCCCACCCCAGGCTTATGCACTGGTAAGATGACTCTTGTGAATTGCTCAGTTCAAGTCTGATTAGGTTTATATATATATATATATATATATATATATATTCGACTACTGCAAGCTCATGCAACAATTATTTAACTTCTATTGCAGGTTGGAATGGCCGCTACACTAGCATCAGTTTGCTCAGTACCTTTAACTTCAGTTCTACTTCTTTTTGAGCTGACAAAAGATTATAGAATATTACTTCCTCTCATGGTAACTATTCTTTAGTATTTTATATTGTTGTGCATACAACATATTATTTAGCGGTGTGGCATTCTTGCTTTTATCTAAAATATTTGGTACATGTAATGCATCGGGTTTCCTAAACAACCATAACTTGTAGCTTAAACCTCAACTAAGTTGCTTTCTTTCTTTCAAAGTTCTCAATTCAACACTTCTGTTGAGGATGGGGTTTGAGTAGAATTTCCAATTTTGTTTGATGGAAAAAATCTCTGAAGGCTGGTTTTATGTTGAATTTCTCTTTTTGTATTTGTCAACCCTACTCTCAGGGTGCTGTTGGGTTGGCAATATGGGTTCCTTCAGTGACAAACCAATCGAAGGAGAATGATGTACCTGATTCAAGAAGCTTAGCAAGAGGATATTCTTCCCTTGCAGCTGAAGATAATGATGGAGGGAACTGGAGACAAACCAATGGAGATGGTTTAGAACTCTCTGTTGTTGGAAATGCTGGTGATCACGAGGCTATTGATGAGGAACTTCTTCTGGAAAATCTTAAGGTTGAGAATACATTCCTCTTTCTTCTTAAATATTAATATCATAGCTATTCTGTTCTCGAATCAGCAGCATGTTACTGAACTTTGATCTTGATTTCTGGCATTTATTAATCTGATCCTTTCATAACCTCAATATATCGTTGCTTTCATTGATCAGGTATCCCTGGCCATGTCAAAAAACTATTTGAAAGCTTCTCTGGCTATGACACTGAGAGAAGCAACCAAGTTAATGGATGATGGCCAGCAGAATAGTGTCCTGGTGGTTGATGATGAACATTTTCTAGAAGGAATATTGACATATGGTGACATCAAAAGGTTTCTGTCCAAGAAGACTAGTGATACTTCTAAGAGTGATTCAGGGCTTTTCGATGTATGTAGAAAGTACCAATACCTATTTGTTTTTTGTTAAATTCATGGAATCTATAGTATGACTGGGGTGGCCATCACCTCTCCAGGCAACAAGATGCAGAAGCAACATATCTGTTGCTTCTGTGTTTATTTGTCAGCAGCGTGATATGGGGTTAAAACTCTCCCCAAAAACACACTGCTAGAAAAAAGCGGGATAAAGAGTTTCTTATGCATCTGCAGGATTTTCAGAGTAATTTTTGGAACCATGACTGAATCAATCTAATTCACTTTATTTCATATGGTAAAATTAGAAGTGCTACAAACAAATTTTAGATATCGAATATTTACTAGGATGGAATAATCACGTCACAGTTTATTCTATAAACTCTTGTTTTTAACTATACTGGCTAAGCTCCCTTATATCTATTTACTGTATGATAAGCCAACTTGAAAAATTGGCAGGCAAGTACATGTCTTGTTTCTTCTGCCTGTACTCGAGGGATTAGCTATCGTGGAAAAGAGCGTGGACTTCTAACCTGTTACCCTGATACCACCTTGGCTATGGCCAAGGATTTGATGGAAGCCAAGGGTATTAAGCAATTGCCAGTGGTTCAACGGGGTGGAGATTTTGGCAGACCGAAGAAACAAAGAATTGTTGCTCTTCTTCATTATGACTCGCTTTGGAACTGTCTCAGGTTTTACATATCATCTGACACTTTGATTCTATCTACAATATCTGTTCTATTCCTTGTTTTTGACTTATGGATATGTACATGTTCAGGAATGAAATTAGTAATCGGAAGACTCTGTTTCAAAGTAGACCGGAAAACAGTTTGGATGTGATCACTGCAAATGGAAATTAACTCTGCCAGGAGAGACTGAAGGTTGTCATCAAACCTCAAGTTTCTTGGTTGCCCTTGAGGAAGAGATTGTTGAAAGAGGCTATAGGCTGTAGCAGCCAGTTTCACAGAAGCTAAGTTGAAAGTGAGACTCTGGCACCACATCACGGTTCATCCTTGTTTTGACGCCTCTAATTTGTTAGTTGATAGTTGATACTTTAAATACGAGTTCAATTTTTCAGCCCTCTCAAGGTTAGCAGCTTGCCACAAGAACAAGTCAATATTGTCATTCCAGTTTCATTGATACGCGAGATTCTTTTGTAAAATTTAGCACATAGCAACTTGTAAATCAAATATGAAAGAAGAAAGTAATGGATTACACTTTGAAAGAGACTTGGATACTTGTACACAAATTTGATTTGAAGTCCTTTGGCCCGGTTACTGTCATATGCCTCCGGCTTCGTTTTGTTACTTCGAATCGCATCATGCTTGCCGTGACAGTTTTTTCTTCTGCCTATTTGCTCATCTTCGCTTTAGAATGGGATTTAGGGACATAATCTTGGAATTCGTGGAGTTTGATTGAAGATGTAGTAGATATTCTAAATTTTTTTTTTGGCTTTTACGTGGCTGGGGGAATGACCTTGAATAGCCAAGGTGAAAACTGAGCAAACGTGAAAAGGAATTGAGAGTTCTAACGAGGGAAAATCTCATACTTTTAAAATTTATAAGAGACAAATATGGATGTTGGATATGCATCATGCCAGGTTAGGGTTATTGGACCCATTTGAAATATTGAAATGACGGCAAAAGAAGCCGTTGCGCTTGAACGTTCTTTTTTAATTTCTTTTTTCAAAAAAGCTAATATAATGTTTGGTTCTTATAGTTTGTTCTTATTTTAATTTTGATCCCTGTAGTTTTAAGTTTTGGTTCTTTAAATTTTATTCTGCTTATAACGTTAGTTCCTATAGTTTCATAAGTACAAATCTAAAGTTAACGGTGCTAAGTCTGCTTATGCGTCACTAATGCTGTTTATTTTGGTGACATGACACAGAGACTGGAAGTGATTTTAAATTTTTTTTTTGGCCAAAGGACGTGATTTTAATTGGGAAAAAAAGAAAAAGCCTTCTTCGCGAAATCAGTGCTTCTCAATATGCATCAGCATCACCACCTCACTTTTTCTATACGGTTGTGATAACTTGAGAGGCCAAGTGCCAACTCAATTTCATACCCATTCATAAATCTCTACCCTATTACGGTCTCATTCTGCAATGTGCTCCTCAGCTGGCTTGTTGAAGATCAAATTTGCTTTAATGCTTTTTCTATGCATCTTTTATCGTGATTAGTGGTTTGAGTTAAACTAATCGCATTCTTTAAGCTTCATTCTCGTTGTCACATCAATAATTATCGTTGTCTTTTGGATTTGTACAAACAGTGGAGTTCATATAGCTGTAATATAACATGAACATTGTTGGATTACTTAATCTCTAATTGATCGATGGCCCAAAGGACAAAATTTAGAAAGAGAAGTATCTGCTCCATGAGCCACGCGTCTATTTTTTGTTCAAGAAACAAAGATAAACAGAGCCATGAATCTGAAGGTTATAAGCTTGAAGATCTTTCTTGTAACTTTCAGAATAGCTCTCTCATAGGAGGCACACATCTCGATGAATTCATACCTGTAAGTCTTATTATAAAACATTTTTATTGAATGGCTAAATTTGAAGCTTTTCATTACTTTTTTACTAGATAAAACTACTTATATAACTGTATATGAATCCACACCGGTAATGAAGATCATGTAAGAAGAACTAGATTCATAGATGGACTGAAGAGAGTGTGGGAGAAGGGCCTGGTGTAATCGAAGAAAGATGGATTTCTTGTTTATAATCATTTTTCAAAGTGCCTAGTGTAAGCGAAGAAAGATGGGCTTCTTATTTATAGGAAAGAATTGGAATTACGGTAAAAGATCTTAAAACTCTTGCTTTATTCTTTGCTTCTCCCTAAAGTTCTTACCCAATTTTTGTAAAAGTTGAAGCATCTCAATTTCTTTTCATTGATCCACTTTGGATTGTTGTTACCTATTATTTACATCATGTCACACATTACTTTTAGACCATTTTATACATCAAATAGAAGTAATTGGAACCACTTGTTATTGTTGGAATATTTTTAAAATGAAAAGACGTGATTTTGAAAAGTCTTCATATGAATTAATATATTTATATGAATGATTATGTAAGAAGTAACAATACTAAAAGACCCTACATATTAAATATATTTTATTTATTATTTTGATTCATAAACTAATATATGGTTGTGACTTTTATTTATTCTAAAAGGTATTTCTTCAAACCATCATTTTATGGTATATATAAACCCCTCACCATTACTTTATTTGGCGACAAAAGAACAAGTCATAACACAAATACAAAGACCAAATTCATTGTTGATAAACCCATATTTTACTATGTTTTATATGTGATTATTTGGAGATTTTATTATCTTTTATGAGTTAAATTGTACTAATTACTGTCTATTTTGGGATATTGGGTATTACATCATTTTATGGGAATTATTACATATTTAATGAAGATTTCAGAAATTACATCTAAGGACCAAAGTAATGGCAGAATGGAATTTGTAAAATGACTAGAGGGGACCAGTAGATGCTGTACGTTTTGATAGATTCAGATTTCGGATCAGGAGAGCTTCGAACTCTCCGTCTAATATACTTCACTATCAGAGATTCACTTCTACATCAGGGGAGATCATCACCAGTCCGTCATTTTCCTTCACCCACACCGTTACTATTTTCTCCGTATTCCTTTGGCATCTCCATTGCCTTCCATCATCTTTTATTCTCTCCACCCACTGAATCCCCATTCTCTCTATCTCATCTTTCCCCTTCGAACCCTACGTGACTACCGTCATTCACCGTCATTCTTCTTCATCTTTGATTAGATGGCTGATTATCTTGTGGAGCTTAAGTGGAGTTTTTGCGACGATGGGAGGTTAACCTTCCTTGGTTTTTACATCAAATAGGGATTTTTCTCTGATTCACTTACTCTAATCCAATTCTATATTCAAATGGTTTAGTTGTATTCATTCAGAATATAGTTGTGGATTTTGACATTGAGTTTTATATCTGTAGAGTGTGTGAATCTGATTAAGAGTTTAATAGGATGGTGATTCTGTTTGCAATGGTTCACTTGAATAGTTGTATTCTTGGATTAAGAGTAAGATTGATCTTGATTACTAAATCGAGTTAAGTTAGCCTTTGACATTAATCTGATTATTGTTCAAAGTAAGATGTGGTTGCAATTGCTTCAGAGAATTCAGTATTGCCGTGCTATTATTCTCTACCAAACGAGAATCCTATCATCGAATTTCTATAATCCCATCTCAGTTGAGTGGCTATAGGGATTCAGTTGTAGTAGAATTAGACAGTGCTTCAATTCTCTTGAGGACTTTGGTCGAGTCAAACTGTATACTCATAGCTAGACTGTGAAGGCAAAGTAATACTTCCTGGGGAACGCTTTATTCATAGTTGATATTCTATCATTTCTTCACCTCACAACATCTCATTTAAATACATCTGAAAATTACAAAGATTTATATTCTGCATTTGGAAAATTAGAAATAAAATAAATAGATGTTCATTTCCTTGCACCTTTAATTTGTTAATTTGATAAAAGTGTATTAGTTGGGAATTAAGATATAAAAAGGCTCCTTTGTGAATTGACCTAGGTTAATTTTAGTTTCTTTGAAGAGGCCCTACAAAGGCTTTTTCAATTGCCTTTGTCTTTGATTGCATGTAGAGTTAGAGTCAAATTATTACTTTGTAAAGGCCATTGTTGTCTTCATTTGAATCTTGGAAGTGCAATCTATATTCAAGGATCTTCATACATCCTAAAGAAAATTTAACGGCCAACCCAACTTGCACCTTAAAAGATAGGAATAGGTTGGGGTGAATTAAGTCTAAAGGAAAGTGTTGGGAATAGTTCTTTGGAGAGTACAAGAAGAAGAGATGAAGAAGAAAGTGGTACCTGATGTCTTCGAGGCACGAGCAGTACTTTCCTTTAGGCTTAATTCGTCCCCACTTATTCCTATATTTTAAAGGAGTTGACTATATATTTTGTGAAGTTGGAGGGATTTGAATGAGGCAACTTTTTGAGATGACAGAGGAAGATAAAATTTCTTGTTATAACTTTAAATGTGGCCTATGTTATCACCACTCTTGAGCCTCAAGAGAAAGAGGATGGAACCATTGCTGAAATTAGAGAGAGATAAAAGTGGGAGAATGATGACTATATCTGCACTGGACATATCCTCAACAAACTCTACGGTGCTCTCTTTGATGTTTATCAAGATACAACCTTTGCAAAGGATGTTTGGGACAAACTTAAGGCAAGGTACATGCAAGAGGATACTAAAAGTAAAAAATTTCTTGTCATTCGTTTTAATAGTTATAAGATGGTTATGGAACGTCTATCATAGAGCAACTGCATGAACTTGAACATATCTTGAATAATTTCAATCAACATAAAACACATATAGATGAGTCCATTATTGTCTCTTTAATCATAGATATAACTCCCTCCTTCATGGAAAGACTTCAAAAGGAGTCTCAAACATAAAAAGGAAGATATCTCTCTTAAACAATTGGGAAATTATTTTTGTTTAGAAGAGGAACATAGAAAGCAAGATGCTAAGAAGGAAGCCAATGCTCAAGAAAAGGTACATGTGGTGGAGAAAGGATAATCCAATAAGATCTCAAAGAAAAAAGGGAAGGATAAAGACAAACTCCAAACACATGATGGTCACAGGAATAAGAAAAAGAAAGGTAATTGCTTCTTTTGTGAAAAAGGTGGTCATTTCAAGAAAGACGGTCATTTCTTTAAAAAGCAGAAAGAGAAAAACAACAAGCCATCTGCAAAAGAAGACAATTTTGTGGCAGTAATTTCTAAGATCCACCTAGTTCATAATGATGAATCATGGTGGGTGGACTCTCGTGCTACATAGGGGTGTTCATAGAGCCTGGTTGCTCGCAATGCTCGCCTAAGCCCGCAAAAAAAAAGCCCAGCCCATCCTTAAAAAAAATGTCCCGAAAGAAATATTGGGCATGTTCAGGTCGAGTAAATTGTCGGGCAGTTCTGGGCATTAGGCACGATATGCTGCCTTGCCCATTCAGCCCTGCCTGCAGAAATATATATAATTCTATTATATATATTTCATTCATCTCATATTTTTCTCCTGAATATTCATTATTCATTATACTTGTTTATTTCTCAAACAATTTTGAGAGTTAAACATGTTATCATTTACTTTGATTTGTATCACTATTTTCTTTTCTAATGCAAATATTATGACCATTGGTAATTTGTATAATTGATCCATCCTCCTATGAGTATTTGGGAGTTATGGGGAAAAAAATTCATATTTGCTTAAG